AAAATTATATGTGCAAGTCATAGAAATCAAATGTGCAAACCTCTGTAAGAACACCTTCATCAAACTTACCATTGAAAAAATCGTCTTTCACAAAGTGCTTGCTGCAAACTAACATATATTTTGATATAGGTTTTCCTATCTTCAGTATCAGTTTCCATTTTTTTATTTCTTTGGGATTCAGAGGAAATTTATGCAAAGATATGTCCGGATCGCCATATGTAGAGCATTGAGGAACTGAGCAAATTTTTCGAGATCTTATTTCCCTATGGCCTTTTTTAATCCTCTGCATTTTTTGGTGTTATGGTTTATTCACAATAATTCTTCACGAAACACCTTCCAAATATACCAGTTTCAATGTTTTAATGCACAAATAACTTAAAATAACATTCGAACTTCACATTACATCCATATAAACAAATGAAAATAGAATTTAATTGTTCACACCTCGAGTCGTTCAAGTTGTCAAAGATAGATGTCGCCCACTCCGTGATTTTTCCCTATTGGCCACCGACCGAAGTACTTCAGCCTGTAATACATTGAAATCTATTGTATTTCATTTCTTTGATTGAATAATGAAATATAATCATATTTATGTGAATTATTGTTCGATGTGAGTAGAAAAAAGAAGGAAAGTGTTCAAGATTAATCAATTTCTTAATTTCTTGGCATCTCTGCAATGTTGGTGATGCATTCAAGTTCACTTCAACACGACATGTCGCAGCGACAATGGCTGCTTAACAAAATTTAATCCATATTTTACCCCGTTTTGGGAATCACATTTCAATTTGTTTGTGATGTATTTCAACTCAATGTCGTAAGTTTTAAACTGGACCAAATATATTTTTATGGACGAATTTACCTAACCTGACGAGTACGCACTGATGATGACTCAACAGTCGAAAGCGCTCTGCTATGAATATTGAATGAATTATTTTGCACGAAATACAAATCTTCCCTTCTTTGGTATATATTCACGTGCACACAGCCCAGCAACCCTCACTACTACCAAGGTGTTTACTGGAAACTTGTGACTTGAGGTCTCTGTAGGGTGTCTTTGGATGCACTGGGTTTGAATGATCTGCAGGTTACTTTCATTGTTGGAGAACTTCTGTGCTAGTTTTCCAGCCTTTCGCTAATTGTTTGTACATTAGTGAGTTGGCAGAGAAGTTCATTTGGAGGGGTTGTGGAGGTGGTTATGAGGATGTCGTATTTTCATGATTGTTCTCAGGCTAGATCCTTCTGCTACTTCTAGATTCTTCGTGGGTGGATTCCTGGTGTTAATGTATATTTGGTGAGCATATTCGAGTATTGTGCAGCATATGGCTTTGTAAATGTGAGCTGCTGTTTTTCTGCTAATTTCTCTCTTCTTATATGTTAAGTTCCGAAAATGTTTGGCTCTTGTGATACACTTTTTTTTCGTGAGTTTAGAGTGGTGATTAAAGTTCAATTTCGGGTCGAAGTGGACTCCTAAGTACTTGGCTATTGTTCTCGTTCTCACTATATGATTATTCACACTGACAGAAGGTGAATTATTGGAGATATTATGGTTGAATATTATCAGTTGGGATTCTTCTGGGTTTGGCTTTAGTCTCCATTTGTCACACCATCTCATGGTATCCTCGATTGTTTCTTGTAACTCTCTCACAGTTTTCTCAAGTGTTTTGTTGTGGCTAATTATGGCAGTGTCGTCAGCGAATTGAATTCCATAGGGCGATGTGAATCGTTCCTGATAGTTTGGAATATTCTGGACAAATACGTCGAGGCAGTAGATGTTGAACAGAAATGGTGATAGGGGAGTCCCTGTTGTGGCTGGGAGACGGTTGAAAGGTGATGCAATACTTTCACTCGTAGGGATCTTCTTTGTAGGTAGTCTTTTACTAGGTATATCATATTATTTGGGGCAGTCCAACATGAATAGTTTGTTGAGCATTCCCTTATGCCTTACACTGTCAAAGGCCTTCTAAGGAAAATTGATGCGGAATGATATCCAGAAAGTTTGCATGCTTGTACGTTTGATACAAATACTGAAATGGGATGTACTGTTCCACATTTTTGGCGAAAACCATATTGGTGAGCCGGGATGGTATGTCCTACTGTTTGTTCCATCATCAGTCTTTCAAGGTTTTTGCCCAACACTGGGAGGAGAGTAATTGGTCTGTAGTTTCTTGGTTGACTGTGGTCCGTGTTTGATTTTGGGATTGTTATCATTACTCCTTTCTTCCACTCTGGTGGGAAGTGTTGTGTATTTATATAATATTCAAACATCGAGCCTGATTTATGTGGTGATATATGTAAAAAAATTGACGTGTACTCTATGTGAGAGAATAACAGTGGTGGTAGGTAGGTAACAATATAATAATGTAATAATCATTGGTCGATTGAATAGCCAATATTACACGGGATGTGTTACAGTTGGTGGTACACGAGCGTCTGGTCGAATAAGCTACCAACGGGCATTTGTGACCCATTAAAAATCATCATTCCCCTTCGGGAACAATTTTCACGCAATTGTTCACATTATTTTACGCATTTGTGTGTCAAATAATTTGGCCAGTGTATTGATATAGTGAAATTATTAGTTGATTTAGTTATGGAAATATATTGGATTGTAGTGAAAAACGAATCAATTCCAGTGATGTGAATATTATATGTGACAAACATCCCATTTCTAAAAAATGACAAGGAAACCATTTCTAGACTTATGCTTATGAATTCATTCTTATGGTTTTTCATATTATGTCACACCGTGTACCAATGTACTAGCTATTATATCCATGCGCTCGGAAGTACTGGGCGAAATGAGAAATTTATTCATTAGTTTTCTTTCTCATCAAATCAATTAATATCATTCAGTGTATTCCCTTAGAAACATTCTATTTCTTCTAATTTATAAATCCTTTTTATGCAAAAGGTCTCCTTTCCGGAAAAACAACATCCAGGTACAAAGAAAATTTACCAAGTCTGTAAACAGAAGGGAACTAGTGATCAGTGCAAAATATGTCAAATTGCCTTATGTATTGAATGTTTTGTACCGTATCATACATAAATACTACATCTTCATAATAATTCCCCAATAAACATTTCTAAATGAGAATGATTTTTATTGTTTTTTTTTAATATTTGAACATTGAAAAAATTCAAAATGGATCCACAATCGATATTTTATATAAAGATATTGACTTGATGATGATAATGATGAAATATACAACTGTCAAATATATGTATGTGTATAATGTTTTTCTGGGGTAAAAAGTAGTAGTAATGAAGTAAAAATATCATATCATAGAGTATATATTCACTTCTGTGATCACAAAAAGTTTCCGAAAAAAATATTAAAAACAGGGTGTTGTTCCATTTGAAAAAAAATATTTGTCGTTTGTCATGCTTTTGAATCACCCAACTTTTGATAAGGGCTGTGGAGAGGTCTCATTGCGGCATTTGACTCCCGAATATTATTTATTTTTCGCGATAAGGAAATAGGGTGAATATAGGGGTGGGCCTTTTTGATGGATAACCCTGTACAACAGAGTTTTGATATTTTGTCTCAATGTTTTGATGCCATTTGGAAAATATACAGACATTATAGCTCATTTGAATGTTTCAAATCTGTTTCATCAATCTTAGATTCCACCAAGAAAATCATGAATCTTGTAGCCCGCGTTTAAAAAAAATCCGATACAGATCAAAATATATGTTATTGCAATGGAGCTATTGAGCTTTTCCCACCTCGTTTTTCACACTATGTGGATAGTTGGTATATAACTTATAAAAAGACATGATTTAACCCGATCAAAACCATCAGCAGCAAACTTAAGTAATATTCTTTTTACCAACTTTGACTGAGATTCTCAGTGCAGCTCAATAGCTCAGTTGTATTACATGTTTCATTTATCTTAGTCTAATGTGAGTTGTCTCAAGAACTTATTGAGACTATTCCTTTCCCTTCACGCCAACTGAACTTGCTATTCATCTGGCGTCGTAGTGAGAAAAAGGTGAGACTGGATTAATTCAAATAATTCTGTGGTTCTGTCCTGAAAATTGTGGAGTTATATTTTCATTTTGACATGCTTTCAGCTTTGAAGTTTCAGTCCACAGGTTAAATCCTTTGAATACTCACTACAATAATATTTCTATGCTCCTCATTAATTTCCCCAGCCATTTTGTTTATGTTCCTTCCCTTTCCCTTCCTGACAGATAAAAACCTGTTTTTTTTATTCAATCGACAACTCCGTCTCACCTCCTTCTAACTCGATTGATCTCAGTAGTGAGAATGTAACAAGATAAAAAGAATATTACTTTTATCTAACTACAGATGTCTTTCGGGGGTCCACTGGCGGTCATTTTGGAAAATGGTCACCACGGCCGCCAGAGGGCAGTTGGCCGATCGTTTCACAGTAAAATTTCGGTTTATATCGGTTCGCCTCTGTGCCAAATTTGGTGCATTTAACATGAAGTGCACAGTAGTTTAGCTAATCTGTTATACTCATATGGGCATTCAATTATGAAAAAAATTTGAAAAACTCGAAAAAGAGGCTGCCAGTATAGATAGATAAATCAGATTTGATTCAAAGAAGGTATAGTCTTATAAAATTCAGTTGGAGCCCCTCGAACAAGGAATGTTCGCCTCGTGCAGCCGGTCCGTGAACTTCAAACGGTCCTGCAGCGAGCAAGATATGTTTTTTGTTGGAGCTGCTCCAATTGACTTTGGAAATACTATAACAGCATTTTCCAAAGCGACTATTTGAATGCCATATCGCTTCGAAAAGATTCGAACATTTTAATCTGATTTATATTCTTAATTCTTGATAATTTTATTGTCTGATAATTTGTGCTACTATATTCAAAACACCCTATATACCTTCGGAGTCCGGAGTTCAGAAGTAGGTACCTACATGATCAACTGTTGTTTTATTACTGAGCTCATCAATGTATAGGGAAGATTAGCATGAGATAAATAAATCATCCTTGATCCAAATTCAAAAGCAATAAAGAGAACTTACCACATTCAAGAAGTTCAGAAATTCACAGATACAATATCTACACATATAAATATTGTGAGCACAATCTCCATTAACTAGATACTTCACGAAGGTATCTTTCCTTGCACTTGTCCATTGGTCGGAAATCAATGGTCCTCCTAGGAAAAGTAAATGAAAGTCTGTGAGGAATCTTAAACTTGATTGTGTTACCAAGCAATTAGATGTCGTTGATTTCTGACAGAATTAGGTATTATGTAGAGTATTACTGGCACTCTGAATGCCATATCAGGACAAATACATACTGATCAAGAATGAAGAGATTTTGTATTTCGTGTAAAATTTATTATCAAATCGCAAAGCGCTTTCGGCTAAAAATACATACTGAGCAATCTACATACATATAATCTCTGTTAAGAAGAAAGGAGTGAAGTAGGTAGGTACCTATTTTGACTTGTCAAGAGCTTATGGAGTTAAACAGTTCTCTCCAATGCATGTAGAATATCATTTGTTTTCACAACTGCTATGCACTATTGAAATTACTTCTACTTTCACTCACCTAGGTCTCCTATAAGTAGTCTCAGCCTTCCTGCTTCCCATGTTTTCCACAAAAACTTAGGCACATAAAAGAATATAGCTTGAATTCCAAAGGCAATGCTAACCCATTGGTAATAAAAATGCCTGTAAATCTCAGAGTCTTTTGCATCGAAAGGATTCCCTAGACCTGGTAGATTTTTACCTGAGAATAAAAAACATGGTGTGAATGGGACATAGGAACAGATTAAAAGTTTATATGGGACGACCATAAAATTATATACATCGTCTCCTAGTAACCCCCCTCCCCCCATTTGAAGGAATGGAATTTTGTTCATTTATTTTTTGCTCCAATGGTGGTTCAAGTGCAACATTTTGATTTCCTTAAAAAATATGTACCTTCCAAAATGGTAAAAACAGTAAAATTAAAGTGGAGATTCTAACTCTGGGGTACCCACACCATACAATTTACCGATGCTTATTATCTGAAAGGGATGAAGTTTCCACAATTTGATTTGATAAGACTCCAACCATTTGTATACTACATCTCTGAATCTCTGAAGACATAGTAGTGAAGCTTTGTCACAAAGATCAGGAAACAATAATGAATAAGGCTTGATATCTTGAGAACTGATTACATTTTCTATTTTGTCATAATTATCTCAGGTACCCGTATGCGGAGTTTCATCGAATTCATGTACAGGGTGGGCAAAATTTTAAAATTTTTGAAGCAAAAGTACTATTTTCGAACTAGATAGATAACTGCTTATCATGATGAACTCAACTTGAAAACCGCATAACGATATCGATCGTTGTTCCAGATTTCCATTTCTTATAAAATCTGTAACTTTGAAAAAATGGCTGGAACAATTTTTCTAGCATACTTTTTGAATTTATGTTCATAGAAACAAAGAATTTTTGCAAAAAAAAACTTCCAACAACCGCTTTTAAAAATTGAACATTTTCGAAAAACACCTTGTAACTCTAAAACGACATGTTCATCAACGAGTTTGTCATGGAAATTCATCCTCAGGTACCAATATTAGTTTCTATCTGCCTAGTTTGAAAATTGGACTTTTCCTTCTAAATTCACGGAAGTGGAAGTTAGCCACAGCCACAAAATACACCGAGAAGAATGTATCGCCAAAAATTAGCTCAACAATTTCACCCGATTTCAGATGGAATTTGAACGCATTTCTTAGAACGACTGAAGGGAATGGGGAGCTTGAGTCAAATTGGATAGGCAGGTGGTGAAATGATAGTTTGTCAGGTCGTCTAACGGGGACGAAGATGGGTTGAAAAGGAAAAATTATCATCTCTTTTAATACCTTTACATGAATTTTGAAGACGGCAAACGAATCTACTGATCGAATTTGATAGTAAGGTAGTGAACTAATAGTTTGTCAGGCCGTATAAAGGGGAAGAAAGGGAGATGAATAAGGAAATATCTATTTATATATCAATGGAGCAAAGGTATCCATTTCCTCCCGCGTGTGAAGTTTGATAACCGACGCGTAGCAGAGAGCATTAAACACACATGGGATGAAATTATTCTTTGCTCCCAAGATATATAAACTGGTCAACATTGATAACGTCGTGGTCCAAAATATAGCCTGAATTCAAAGTAGAATAACTCACGAATGTCCTTACCAATTTGAAATCGGTTTTCACCGATGATTAGCCTAATCTCTTGACAGTTTGTTGTGGCAATATGGAACTTCTGTAATTTCAGATAACATTACTACGAGGTGATAATTGAATGGGTGTAAAATTGCATCCTGGTCTTCACTTTATCGTTTGAACAGATTTTCGACAATGACCTACACTATATTTCCTTTTCGGAACATAGCGAGTTTCATCACGTTTAAACATATATTCTTCTCCACCCCAGGGCAATCTGGAGATATTTTTTATCGCACCTTGTACATCCATCGTCAAGAATATATATGAATTTCATACTTCTGGAACTACAATCGGGATTTTTTGTATTTTATAATTTATCTTAAAGAAAATGCATCATATTCATTAAAAATGCGTACCTTCATTCTATGACCTTCGATCCGAGAAATTTCAAAACTATTTCGAGGTCAGACACCAGACATCCTCATGACGAAGTAACACTCCATTATTCCCGAGATTATTCCACTAGTAACACAAAGAAAATTATGCTTCATCTACTGAAGACTACGTTATTCTCCATTCCATCATTCAGTATTTCTAGTATCAATTTGTATAGACTTCTTCAGAATTTTCTGTATTCAAACACAATCACATATCCGACGACTATACATACAACGTTGATTCATCGAAAAAGAATTCCAATTTCATTCAATTAATCGTCGAAAAAATGCATCATTTTGAATGAATATTTATAACACGATTATCAAAGCTCTGAAATTGAAAATTCCGAAAACGTTTCGAGAGAAAGCATCAATCAAGAGGATACAGGTGAGAAAAAAAAAAAGAACTGTTCGAACGGATAGGTGACGACCACGATGTAATTTTACACCCATTCAATTAACACCCTGTAGCAATGTTATCTGAAATTACAGAAGTTTCATATTGCTACAAAAAACTATTAAGAGATTAGGCTAATCATCATCGGTGAAAACCGATTTCAAATTGGTATGGAAATTCGTGTTATTCTACTTTGAATTCAGGCTATATTTTGGACCACGACGTTATCAATGTTGACCAGTTTATATGATTTTATCCACGAACGCATATATTTGAGAGCGTTGTTCTTAAAATTGTGCTTCAAGCGGTCTCTTTATCGGCCTCTCTATCGAGTTTCTTGATCCAAATCAACATGTTGCATGATCTAAGGTTACAGACAGTATTTGAATTGAACGAAAATCAATTTGACACTTCTGTCAGATTGGATTTGTTTATTGTGTAATTGCATTTTATTTAAAGTCTCGATTGAATAAGTTTGGAATATGGAATATTGGGTTCAAAAAGCAAATTGTTATTTGTTTTATAGTAGTGATGGAGACACTGATTAGGTACTTGGGTAGCCAGTCACAGATCTTATACGCAAGCAAGCAAGCTGAAGCCAATTTATTTTACCTTCCACGGGAGGTAATAGTTTTGTGGTCTTAACTCTTTATAGGTCCGCTTATGATAAAAGCATGGGCTATTTTATGGACCTTCGATTCATAGGCAATGAAACTATTTGGTAGCAAGCGTAAGAGGTTGGGGGTTCAACGTTTTATGATTTGTGTTCGTCAATTTTTCATGTGTAAATGTTGATATTTAGAAGTGTTAAGTTCGATTGTTCGATTATTGTTCTTATTGGAATGTTGGTGTTGGCTCCTTTCTTTCATATCTCTGAAAACTAAAGTTAAGGAGGGATTCCATTTGGGGAGGCGCACCCTGTACATGCATTTTGAAGATTGCAAACGAATCGACTAATCGAATTTGATAAAAAAAATGTGATGCATAATTAGTCGGCCTTCTAAGGGGGAAGAAAAGGGGTTGTGAAAGGAAATAAAAATTATCATATCTGTTAATGTTCCTTGTACAGGGTGGACAAAATTGGGCGTTTTCACCGTCTATCTCAATAACTAGAGGAGTTATCGAAAAACCGATATACATGTTCCGGGTTCGATTTTGGAGAAACCTCGAATGGCACAATCAAAATTTCGATATCTTCATTCGTTTTAGAGATACAGGGGGAAATTGAAAATTTGCCGATTTCAATTTTATTTTCTGACTACTTTACGGTGAGAGGTATCAAAAAATTTCAAACGTATATTCATACAGTATGATGCGTGGAATCCATTGGCATCATCAGAAATTTTATACAGGGTGACGTTGAGAAGATACGGCAGCCAATTATGTTTTTTCTAATGGAACACTCCGTATATTTTGGCACAGTTGAATAGTCCCAGGCGTTTTCATTACAAATATATATAAAACCCTACCTTTTCCTTCCATAATTTCAGATATATTCGCAAAAATATATTCAGTGTGTCACATTTCTTATGGTTACACCCCCGTATCTTCTGTAAAAATAATTGAGGTAGGATTCAAAAATTCGCAACTGTCAGAAAGATACAAATGATACACTCATGGAGTCATGGACCAAGTGGGATCATCTCCAATGATAACACTGCTCGCCAGCAGCTATGGAATCATCGATATTTCTGGATAATGCTATCAACAGGCAGAATCGAGGTTGAAAATGACACTCTGTATATATTCACCAAAGGTGGAAAATGAATATTATAGAGAATGTTATTTCCAGACAAATGGATATTTGGTGAGAAATAAAATAGGAAATTATTCGATTTGATATCATTGTTATCAAGACATTTGAGATACAGAAATAAGACCAATAAGTTACTCAATTAGGAAATCAGTAGGTTGCGTTGAAAAATATAGCCTCATAGAAGATGTCCACATTCCAGATACAGAACAATTTTTTTTTTAATATATATCTTATTTATTATCTCTTTGAACGCAAAAATATTAAGGCATACTAGAAATAATGGGTAAAGTATCATATTCAGGCATTCTGTCACAAAATATTATGATTGTTAATGTTTCCATCAATATTATGTGTCGAATTAATGTAATGTCACTGGACTTCAATGCGAACATATTCTCATGATAATTTCGTCACAAGCCAGCTATGCCTATACGATATACCCATGATATACCCATAGTTGTCCATGAGAAGATGGCTATGGAAATGACAAACATGTAGGTAATTCATTGCCGCTGTCAAGAAGCGGATTGTTGATTTTTGTGTTATCCATCGAAATGCCTTATGAAAATTCTGAGAAGTATGATATGATATGTGTTTATATCGAATGTGGAAGGCAGAAAGAACAGGCAAGCGAAGTATATTATCAACGCTATCCCGAAAGACGACAACCCCATGTATCGAAGTTTAATAAATTAGAAAATAATTTGATGGAATTTGGATCTTTCACAAAACCAAGACCAAAAAAGTATGCCAAAGAAAATTATGACAAAGAAGAAAATGTTATTGGTTATGTAAACGCCTACCCCTCAGCGTCTTCTAGAAAAATAGAGAATGCTGTTGGTGTGCCAAGAAGGAGTGCTCTGGCAATTTTAAAAAGGTATCATTAGCGCCCCTATCACATATCTGTCAATCAGTTTTTATATCCGGGTGATTATGAAAGGAGGATGACATTCTGTAGGTGGTATGTAGCTAAATGCGAAGAGAGGCAGAAT